TCGTGATAGACATCAAAGTATCTTAGGCCTATCTCAAAAAATCTATATTAAAAAAGTTTTAGAAATATTTCAGATAAAAGATTGTCACATAGTGTTGCTCATATTGTGAAGGGTGATAAATTCTATTTGAACTAATGCATGGAGAACGATTTTGAGAGAGAAAATGAAAAATATTTCGTATTCTTATGTTAGTGGAAGTCTGGTGTATGCTCAAGTTTGTACAATACCTGACATTACATTTTTAGTTGGGATGTTGGAAGATATCAAAGTAATCTGGATATTGATCATTGGAAAGCTGCAAAGAAAATTTTGAGGTACCTGAAAGGGACAAATAACTATATGTTTATGTACAAACAATCATATAGTTTAGAGGTGATTGGCTACTCTGATTCAAACTTTGTTGGTTGTGTTAGTTCATGTAAATTAACACCATGTTACATATTTATGTTTACTAGTGGAGCAATATCTTGGAGGAGTGTCAATCAAACCTTAACTACTACTTTCACTATAGAGGTTGAGTTCGTTTCTTATTTTGAGGCTACCTCACATGGAGCATGGTTGAAGATTATCATTTTTGGGCTTAGACTTATGGACTCAATTTCTAAGCCATTAATGATTCATTGTGAGAATTTTGATGTTGTCTTTATGGCTAAGAACAAAAAAGTGGAAGTCAAAGCAAACACATTATCATTAAGTATCTGTCCATAAGGGAATGTGTTTTAGAAAAGAATTGAGTGCATTTAGTCGTTCCTTTAACGAAACACATGCCACCACATAAATTTAAGAATCATGTTGTCACTATGAGACTTATTTCCCTTTGTAAATTTTCGTTGTAAGGATGATTTTAATGAAACTCTATTAAAGTTTGATGTTTCTCATTTTTGTTGTGTGCATATTAATTTAGTTATGTCGAGAAATATCACTAAAGTTTTAACCTTGAATAAATGTTGGGTTTATTTATTAAGAATGTTGATTAAAGTGTTGAGGAAAAATACTTTTTGATACATGGAAGATATTACTCAAATCTTAAGAGCAAATATCGTCATGATTCGTGTATTGTGTTTTGACTTTAAGTTATCTTGGGCAATGTAAACCAAGTGGGAGTATATATGTATTTAATTAAAACTGCTTTAAGCAGTTAATTGCCTCAAGCAGTTAATTGCCTCAACCCTTAAGGTTGGTTCATGCACAACCACGTTCTGACTTCATTTGGAGTTACTCATGGATGTGGATAAATGATCAGATATAATGGGTAGTTTTTGGGTGGTTTTATAAGAAACCACACCTATAAATACTAATCTAGCCAAGGTCCTTAAGCATTAACACATTTCAAAGCATTTTCATTTGAGAGAATTTGAAAATTTATTTCAAGTGAGATCTTGAGTGCTTAGAAGATCCTTGACGGTTCTAGTTTTCGTGTAGCTAAATTCGTAGTGCTCAATAATGATTCACAGTAGTCAATGGTGGTTTACGGTGGTCAACGATGATTTGACGCTTTGATAGTTGTGCAATCACATCATGAATTTTGACATACAAAGTAGGTAATGGTTGAAGACATTTATAAACGATCATTTTTCGTTGTGTTTATGCAGGATGTATTTACATTACAAACAAACTATACCAGCATTAATGGTTGTTTGTAACTTGTGATGTTTGGCCCAAGGAATTGAAAATGGGGAAAAATATTCTTATAGAAATTTTCAAGAAAGATTTTTTATTAATTTTTTTAAATTTACGAATAAAAGGAGTATAAACAAATTAAATATAGAATAGATTTAAAAATATTCATTTCGGCTGCTTTAATTGCCATTAAAAGGTAACCTTTTTGTGGCCATAAATTTAACTTTAGACCGGTCCAAGACTAAGGACATATTTCGATACTCATAATTATGGCCTGCAAGGTTTTATTTCACTAGCTCCTACTTAGTCAAATTTGTGTTTGACCCAATTCATCATTTTTCTCTTTTATTTTTTAATATGTTTAAGATATTTTTCTTTTCTCAATGTGATGTTCAAAATATCAATTGAATTTAAATTCATCATAAAAATGAAATAAAAATCACATATAAACTATATCTTCCCGTATCTTCTTTGTTTTGGCCTTGGAATATTTAACACTTTTAAAGTTTACATTATTTTAAAGAACCATGCAATACCAAGAAAGTTGCACGTTAATAAATATTGTATTATATTTTATGTATAATATCTAACTCCTATCGTGATCTTACAAATAAAATATGTATTAGTAATATGATAATTTATTATATAGAGAGAGGTCCAAATCATATTAACAATAAAAAAATCAAAAAATAAAATAAATTTAGTCTATGAATTTGAAAGGTACACATATGATAAATAAGTCCATGAAAAATCATGTAACATATGGATAGAAATTAATAGGGGGTGGCCATATTTTGATAAATGATAATGACAGTCCTACGACTAAGCCTACTGCTAATAATAATATTAATAAGTTATCATTTTTAATTTCATAATCTTTATAGGTGGATTTACACGTTTATTTTTAAATTTATTAAATAACATGATTTATATATTAATTTAAAATATGATTATTCAAATTTTTGCATATGATTAAAATATATGATTTTTTATAATTAAATATTACAAAAACCTCAAATTATAATTAAACAGTTTTGGTAAAATAAATAAATAATTAAACTTTGAATTTAGGTGATATAGGAATTCGAACTTCTTTCTCATTTTTTATTTACTAATTAAATGAAAATAAGTAAGGTTTTTTTTAAAATACTTAAGTTGAGTATTATTATACATGACTTAGTACACTTTAGTTGCCTAAATCATATTTTAAATTGATTTTTGTGTCTAATTTGTTTTACTAACAGTAGGTGTCTAACGTTCTCAACGTTATACTTTTAAGTGTTTGGATTGTAACGGCCGTTAAATTTAATCGTTATTTGTCAGGTGTCACACATATAAAATTTCAAAAAAAAGATACACTTTTAGGTACTTAAACTATACCTCAAAATGACTTTTGGTGCCTAAATAATTATTAATTTTCTCCGTTACAATTTAGATTCATACCGTTATATTCTTTTATCGTTTAATAATAAAAATATTATTTTTAAAAAAATCAAAATAAAACTCTCCCCTGTGTCGTCCTTCTCCCTCAGATCCCCCACCTCTGACGACGACAAAGGATTATCACCGACTAGGTTTGTTCAGAGCATGGCGGCCCTGTAACCTACAATCGATTGTAGTCTTTGGAATCGTCGAAAAATAACGAAGGAAAAATGAGAAAATCGACGACCCTTAGTGGTGCTTTTCACTATGATCAACGTTGTTTCACGAATGGGTGAGACTGTGTTTTGGTCATGGCAACGAGACGGTTCTAATGGTGCCAATTGTAATAGCCACTAATCGTCGGTGACTGATCAGTAGTGAAATTTTTGGGTTTTTTGGTTCTTTTAAAATTATAATATTAAATTTTTTAAATAAATTTTGTGAAATTTTATATGTGTGACATATGTTAGATAATAATCAAATTTAACGACCAGTCAAGATACCTAAAAGTGTAATGTTGAAAACGTTAGATGCCTATTTTTAGAAAAAAAATCTTTAGACATTAAAAGTCAATTTGAGGCATAGTTTAGGTACCTACAAGTGTATTAAACCTTAAGGAATAAAAAAATATAACGGTAGACACCTAAAAGTGTAATGGAGAAAACGTTAGATGCCTATTTTTAACGATAAATTCTTTAAACATCAAAAGTCAACTTAGGATATAATTTAGGCACTTAAAAATGTGTTACATTTATTTTATAATGATTAATCTTCGATGAATTGTATAATTTAATGATGATAATAATAATAATAATAATAGTAACAACAACAACAATATTATTATTTTAATAATAAAATAACAAAATAAAAATATTTAAAAATCTTCCCACTCATGTTGTTTTATTATATATATTATAGACTATAATTTTTAGGTTATATATTATTATTTTATGATATTTTAATTTTATGTAATTTATAAAAACTTAGGATATAATTTAGGCACTTAAAAATGTGTTACATTAATTTTATAATGATTAATCTTCGATGAATTGTATAATTTAATATGATAAATGCATATTTAGAATTAGTACTTTTTTTCAAATATTTAAAATTTAATGATGATGATAATGATGATAATAATAATATAATAATAATAGTAACAACACCAATATTATTATTTTAATAATACAATAACAAAATAAAAATATTTAAAAATCTTCCCACTCATGTTGTTTTATTATATATATTATAGACTATAATTTTTAGGTTATATATTATTATTTTATGATATTTTAATTTTATGTAATTTATAAAAAATTAAATAATTCAACCATGCATAATGAATGTTTGTGTGTGAGTTCTGTCTTATATTTATTTCAGGTTTAAAGTTTTATTGTATAGATTTTGTTTTTGACTTTAAATCCTTTAAACTTTTATGTTAACAACATAAAGTTTTTAAATAGGATTGGTACAAATAAAATTTCAGGGTGGGTAAAGTCCGTAAAATAAGTAATTAATTAAAGAAAACCTAAATTTCACTATGGACACGGTCTGTGAAATAAGTAACTAATTGAAGAAAACTCAGATTTCATGGTGGACACAGTCCGTAAAATAAACAACTAACTGAAGAAAATTCGGATTTTCACACCCTCACAAAGTTGTGACTTTGTCACTGTCCCCAGAAACAATTGCTCGAATCCAAGATTTATAAGAAAAATAATAATTCTTTCGTCTCATAATTTATGTCTTATATTGACTATCCACATAATTTTAAGAGATATATTTGACCAATAAAAATACTAAAATTATCGCTTAATTAATATATTTATCTGATTTATTTTGATAAATATGAAAGAGGAATACGTATAAAGGTAAAAATATACCATCTTTTATTACTAAAAATCATTTTATGGGTTCATGTATCTTTTAATCTGAATAAAATCCAGAAGACTTTGGATTCTTTCCCGCAAGATGGACGGTCTCACATTTGCCTCGAGTAATTTATGATGGAAGCTTCTGTCATCAAATCAGTAACACGAGATGATTGAAATTACAAGGCCCGTCTTTTGACTTCTGTTTTCTATATCTTTCTATATTAATGTCTCCCTCAAAACTAACTTGCAGCGAAGTCTTTCTTTCCGGAAAAAAAGAAAAGAAAAAGAAGAAGAGCTACCATAGTTCTGCAACAAAGTTTCTTGTGTGTTAACAGTTAAAAAAGAAGCTCTGAACAAAACAATTAAAAGATCATGGGAAGGGCACCTTGTTGTGACAAGGCTAATGTGAAGAAAGGACCTTGGTCACCCGAAGAAGATGCAAAGCTCAAGGAGTACATAGAGCAAAATGGAACCGGAGGAAACTGGATTACTCTTCCACAAAAAGCTGGTGAGTTTCATATGTTATCAACCCAGTAAATTAAAGGGTTTTTTCAGTAGTTGTTGTTTAGTGATGTTGAATGTGTTTGGTTTTTGTGTTTAGGTCTGAGGAGATGTGGGAAAAGTTGCAGATTAAGATGGCTTAACTATCTCAGGCCTAATATCAAACATGGAGAATTCTCTGATGATGAAGATAAGATCATCTGCACTCTTTTTGCAACCATTGGCAGCAGGTATTTATCACCAAATTAATGTCTATTTTTCTCTGATTTTGTCCATGCACTCACATCATGAGCTGCAACAGGTGGTCAATTATAGCAGCTCAGTTGCCAGGCAGAACTGATAATGATATCAAGAACTACTGGAACACAAAGCTGAAGAAGAAACTACTTGGCAGGGTTCCCCAGTCTCCAAGGAAACCCCATCAGATTTCACCTTCACCATCATCATCTACATTACTCTACAATTGCAGCAACAATACTTACCACACACCACCAACATCTTTTTCATGTTTTGAACCATCATATTCCTCGAGCTTCTCAAAATTAGAGTACAGCAATGGTGATCATAATCAACAAATAGGGAAGCACTGTTACAATAATTTCTACAGTGAAGTTGCTGATGATAACCAGAAGCTGATAATGTCATCAAATCATGATTATGAATGGTCAACTGAAACACCATTAGATTATGGGATTGAGGAAATTAAGCAGCTAATTAGTACTACCAGTAGTTGTAACACCTTTATTTATTATGAAAACAATGCAGATGGAAAAGTCCTGTACTATTGATCTGACTGTGACTGTGTGTAAATCAGATGGATTTGAAGGGTTAGGGGCTCAGAGATTTAGAATTTTTTTTTTTTTTTTTGCAAATTTACTTTGTGCATTTCTTTTTGGGAAATGGTGTAATTTGCAGGTAGCCTTAGATTTTGACTGCAACGTTTAGAAATAAAACATAAATGTCATGGAAACTAGGGGATTCATCGTCTTTTCAGGGATCAATAACTTGAAAACTAAGTAAATCCATTTATTAAAAGAAAATAATTTCAGTGATTGAAAATGACTTATAATATATTATTTTAATTAATTTTTTTTGAATTTGTGAAAATAACCAGTAAATTCGCAACGCGATCTCAAATTCGCAACACGAACTTCAATTTCGCAACACAGTTTCTAAATTCGCAACTCAGTTTTGAAATTCACAACTCGAATTTCTTTTTCACAACGCGAACTCCAATTTCACAACGTAGTTTCCAAATTCCCGAATTTGGTATTCGCAACACGGAATTTCAAATTCGCAACTCGATTTCTTTTTCGCAACTCGATTTTCTGAATTCGCAACGCGAATTTCTTTTTCGCAACTCGATTTCTGAATTCGCAACGCGAATTTCTTTTTAGCAACGCGATTTAGAAATTCGCAACACAGGTATCCTTTTCGCAACAAGATTTTCTGATTCGCAACACGAATTTTGTTTTGGCAACTCGATTTCTGAATTCGCAACATAGATTTTAATTTCGCAACAGCTTTTATTTTCGCAACACAAATGTTTTGGGTATATAAACTACGTATCAGCAGCAACTCATAACTTAAATCCCTAAATCGCAACTCATTCCATCTCCATCTCTCACTCTCTCTGGCGAAATCCGTTCATATATCTAACGACATCTTTCCTCATCTCTAATTTTTTTTTACATAATTTTATTTCTATATAATTTTTCAATGATTTCTCTCCCAAATTATCAACTATCAACTTAATAAAGGTATGCTTAGTAAATTAATTTACAATTTGTAGAATGAAATCATCTAATGTTGATCATGTTTGGATAGATTAGTGTTATGGAGGGTCATGGGATAATGTTAATGGTGTTTTACAATATATGCCTTTACCCATGAATCTTCAACTAAAACTGTCATTAAAAAAGTTAACTTATGAAACTATAATGTTACATGTTTCAAAGAAATTGAATTTAGAGCCTCTGAGTGGATTTAAGCTATCTTATCAGAGAAAATGTAAAGTTTATTTGTTAACCGACAATGAAGATGTTGAACGATTCATTGCTTACATTAGTGTTTCGCAAGATGATGTTACATTGTATGTTGTTGAACCTAGAAGTAGTGAAGTTAGGTCAGTAACGGGTAGTAATCAACTAAGTTATTCAGCCCTAGTTTATGGTGCTCACAATGTACAACGTTATCAACCTCAAAATTTCATGGTTCCACAACAATTTCATCACCAAGAAAATTCTGTTTCACCACATTTCCAATACCAAACACAATATCAAACAATATCTCAAAACCCACAACCTTTTCCTAATCCAAATCTCAATCAACTTTCAGCACCAAATTTCGGTTTTCGTATTGATCAGTTAGACGATGATGAGCCAACAAAAAAAATGAGTACTAGTCAGTATTCGAAATTTGATCTTGGTCAATACCTAGACTTTGATCTTGGTGAATACCCGGACTTTGATCTTGGTTAATACTCAGATTTTGATGATGTTTCAGAAGAAGAAACAGACCCTGCATGTAATGATTTTGATATTGGTCAATACCCGAATTTTGATGATGAAACAGCCGCTGCCGAGGAAGATGTTATTGATGATAATGAGGAGGAAGTTACGGCTGTGAATGAACATGTTGAACATCCATTCTGTAATTCATATAACCCTGAAGAAGAAAAAAAAGAAGAAGAAGTCTCCGAAGAAAAGAAAAAGAAGAAAATGCCACGAGAGTATAACTGGAATATGCCAGAATTACTTCAGATACCGGAAGAAGAGTTGGTAAAGATAGCAGTTGATTGTTACACAAAAGTTATTCATATCAAGAAAGATGATTGTTTTGATACAAAGGAAGACTTGAAGATAGTTTTGTATACGAAATATGTGGAAGATGACTATCAACTAAAAGTTAACAAATCAAGCAATTATCGTTTTAAAACAAAGTGTAGGATTGACAAAAACTGTACGTGACGTATGATTGCAAAGAGGATAAAAGATTGTGAAATGTTTCAAGTTAATACTTTTATTGATAAACATACATGTTCAAGAACCCATGTTTTTCCTCACCATAGACAGGCAAACAAAAAGGTGTTGGGTGGTTTTTGGCTGAGTTAATGTTTTGAATGGCAGGGTATATCGGGGACATGAAATTATGACTACATGAATCTCGCAGTGTCACAATTTAAAGCTGAAAATCATGGGTCGGTAACTCATATCAAACATATAGAGATAGACGTTTTGAGTTTCTGTTTATCTCCATTGGTTCTGCGGTTAGAAATCATATTTTTTGACTCATTTTTGTTAGTTACATGTATTCAATTAAATGATTATATTTTCTTGTGTATATATTTTGTAGATTCGTTCGTTTATTACTTGCATGCGCCCAGTTATTATAGTTGACGGAGCACATTTGAAAGGTCGATACCTTGGAGTAAACTTATTAGCAGTAGCCATGGATTCTAATAATGAGATACTGCCAATAGCTTACGGGGTTGACAAATCTGAAACTTCTTATTCATGGATATGGTTTATGGGGCATTTTAGGGATTACATAGGTCCTATTAGCAATCCGACAATCATATCCAATAGGACAAACTCAATTGACAACGCTATTAGAAGGTGTTTCCCAGATGCTTTTCATGGACTTTGTGGTGTTCATTTGTACAAAAATCTAAAATCAAGGTCTGCTAGTATAAAAAATCACAAATAGACATACTGGAAGGCTGTAAAAGCTTATCGGGAAGTGGATTTTAATAAGCATATCAATTGTTTAAGACGTGTTTTGCCTCAATGTGCTCAAACACTAGAAGATGTCGGGTTTGAAATATGGTCAAGAGTACATCAACTTGGAGCAAGATATGGTTTCATGACGTCTAATAGTGCAGAATCAATCAACGCTCTAAGTCGTCATTCCCGAAAATTACCCATTATTATGTTAATGGAGTTTTTTCGAGCCTCTATTCAACAGTGGTACTACAAGAAAAGAAACCATGCAGGTATTATTTATTTAAATTCGTAACTTATCATATTTAATATATTTTACTAAATATTATTTATTTAAATTACAGGAACATTGGAACGTCGTGTTACACCATGGACTGAAAAAAAGATAACGAAACATGTTGTGAAGTCAACGTCATGGAGAGTTGAACCGTGTTTAAACACTTTGTTTGAGGTCTTGGATAATAACTTAAATGGTCTTATCGATCTAAATGCAAAGACGTGTAGTTGTATAAAATGACAAACATCTGGTTATTTGTGTTGCCATGTTATAAAAGTTTCTCTTCATCTAAACCAAGATGATTCATGCGTATACGCTATGGATTGCTACACTACAGAAGTATATCGACAGACTTATATCGAGATTGTCTACCCTATTCCACATCTTTCTGAGTAAGACATACCAGATGACTTACAAACAATTTTTCCACCAGTCATGGACAGAAGGCTACCTGGCTGACCAAAAAATCACGATCGTATATCGTCTAAGGGTGAAGAGAAGAAGATATCGACATGTAGTCGGTACAAGGAAAGTGGTCATACAAGGTTGACCTGTGGATCACCAATGCCATCACAATCATCTTTTTCTCTACCAAAATATGGATCCTCATCAAAATCCAAAGCTCATATGGTGCCAAGAAAAAGGAAATCAAAATCGCAATCAAAATGAAAATCCCAATCACAACCGCCTTCACCTTTTGGGACTATTAACTTAGGTGATTTTTAAATGCAAACATTGTATTATGTGTATTTTATGTGTGAATGCATACATTTTCAGTTAGACATGCATTAGTAACTTGAGCTTGAACATTGCTATGATATGTTCAGTTGTTATCACTTATCAGATTGTTGTTTGTTATCTTTTTGAAGGTGTTTGCCTTGAATTTAAACTAGAAAAAATATGGTTATTGTGAACTTCTCCGATTCATAACTCAAATTCGCAACTCGATATTCAAATTCGCAACGCGAAAATAAAATTTGCAGCATGAAAATCGCAACGCGAATTTGATTTTCTTAAAGGTAGTGTGCCTTCAACATGTCTTATTTGCCTTCAACATAATGTAGATTGAAATTAAACAACAAATCAATTAAATAAAAAACAATTTTTATTTATACTTTACAGTACATTGATACATCAATTTTCCCCAGACAGTACATCTAAATGCTCCTAACAATAGGGAGCTTACAGACATTGGTCAGAAATTATAACATCTGGAAGGATTAACCTGCAGAAATGTTATGGCCATGAGATTTTCTACACATCCAAAACCAACAAATATGAGCTGAAATTATTGAATTCTAGGTACTTAACCAAACATTTTCAAACTACTTTTGATCAATATTTCGTCTAAAACAAAGAGTAACAGGTTAATAACCCTTGCTCAAACTTACCAATAACAAGTGGTTGTTTATGCACACTTTTAGCACCCGGATGTAGGTAGGCAACGTCTCGCATATATCTCTCTAGATATATAATGCCAAAACCACAACCCTACTACACCTCTATCTCTATCTGTCGGAGGTAGAAACTGTTTACCTCCTCTCGTCATACGTTCCAAGCAAATGCATACAAGAGGACCACAATCCCCTCTGACTCCCGACGTTTGTTATGGTGATGTCTCGTCTCTTATCATTGTATCTTTTAACTTATTTGGCTTCTTGTTTCCTAAATTAGTCCAATAAGCAATCGCATCCAAGTATTTAGTCAAAAGATCGCTCCATCCCCTACAAATAATATCTTTCAAATCAGACAATGATATGTAATTCAGCATACTGTCATATACTATCGT